CCCCCTCTAATAAGTAACATTGAGTAAATCTTAAGGAAGTGACAGCCATGTGGAAATCTGAGGGAAGAGCTTTCCTGTAGTGCAAAGGACTTAAGGTATGCTTGGGGTATTCAAGAACAGTGAGGTGACTGGTGTGACAGGTGTGGAACACAACGGTGGGAAAGAGCTAGGAGATCACATCAGAAAGGTAGCTAAGAGTGATCCTGTAGTGTTGGAGGCCCTGGAAAGTACTTTGCATTTCATCCTAAGTGATAAGAGAAACAACTGGCAAGCTGAGGAATAACATGATTTAGTTTATGTGTTAAAAGTATCTCTCTAGGGCACCTGGGTGGCTCAGTGGTTGAGCATTTGCCTTCAGCCTGGGTCATGATCCCCGGGTCCTGGGATCAAGTCCTGCTTCGGGCTCCCCACAGAGAGCCTGCTTCTCCCTCTGCCTGTGTCTCCGCCTGTCTCTGTGGGTCTCTCATGAATAAATAAATAAAATCTTTGGAAAAAAAAAAAAAGAAGTATCCCTGTAGGGATACCTGGGTGGCTCAGTGGTTGAGCATCTGCCTTTGGCTCAGATCATGATCCCAGAGTGCCAGGATTGAGTCCTGCTTCCCCATAGAGAGCCTGCTTCTCCCTCTGCCTCTCTCTCTCTCTCTCTCTCTCTCTCTCTCATGAATAAATAAATAAAATCTTTTTTTTTTTAAGTATCTCTCTAGTGGCCTGTGAAGAATAGGTTATAGGGGACTAAGATAGAAGCAAGGATATTAGTCAAATAGCCATTGCAATAGTGCTGGCAAGAGATGGTAGTGGTGAAGATTGATAAGGGTAATAGGAAAGGGGTCAGGTTCTGAGCATATTCCAAGGTAGAGACAATAGAATATGCTGATACATGAGATATGAAATATAATAGGATATTAGAGATATGAGAAAGTAAATCAAGGATAATTATTATTTTCTGGCATGAAAACCTTAATGACTAGAGCTACAATTTACTGAAATAAAGAAGACAAGTGGAGGAGGAGGTAAAAGGTAGAGAAGCAGGAGTTTGATTTGGCGCATGTGGAGTTTTGGATGCCTGTAATACATTCAAATGGAGATACTGTGTAGGTGGCTGGATATACAAGCCTCGAATTTAGGAAAGAGGTCAGAGCTGAAAACAAAATTCAGTATTTCAAATCAAGATACTGAATGAGGCTGACTAAGGAATTGGGATAAAAAATGAGTAAGTGTAAGCACTAAACCCAGAGAGTTTTCAATATTTATAGATAGAGGAAATTTGCGTCATTAAGCAAAGGAAAATGAGAAGCCTTGGGGAAGAAAGAACCAAGAGAGAATGGAGCCTCATGGGCCAAAACATCCTTAAAAAGACAAAATAATTCTGAAATGATCCTGATGTTTTATGTTACAAAGACAATTACTTTGTTTCGGCATAGGCTTTCAGTTTCAGTTTCTCTCTTCGACATGTGTCTTGATGGGATGCCCCAGGACTTTTCTCTGATGTCATTTGTCCAATTTAGCCCCTTCCCATATCAAAATAGTTTATATCTCTATCTTCCCAGAATCCTTCGCTTGGGTTTTTAGGAAAGGAAAGCCTGACGGGAATCACTAAAGTCAAACTAAATGAGAATGAAGCATCTGCTTCAAAGCAATGGCTGGGGAGGTTTCTATAAAACACCTCTTCTACAACCTCATTCTGTTTGCCAAGAATGTCAGCAATCAAAATCACATTTCAAACCTCCTGTTTCTACCATTGCCACGTTTATAGTAGTATGGTTTACAGATGGCTGATACCTTATAGTGGAAAAAATCAGTGGTTTGAAGTCACAATATTTATGTTCTATACTGACTCTGCTGATAAAACATTGGGAAAAATACCTCTCTATCTCTTAATCAAACTAGGTCAATATTAGTAAACAGGTGTCAACCTGTAAGCCAAGTTAGAAAAAAATGGTTGTCCACTAAAGTCCTTGTTTACTCTCTTATTAGTTCTCATAATTTGCAGATTCTCTTGAATTTCCATCTCAGCAGATATGATCAGAAAATAATGATAATTTGTCTCTCTTTTTCTAATCCATATACATTTTATTTTTCTTGTCTCGTTTTTTTTTTTAACATTTTTTTATTTATTCATGAGAGACATAGAGAGAGAGAGACAGAGACACAGGCAGAAGGAGGAGCAGGCTTCCCACAGGAAGCCTGATGTGGGACTCGATCCCAGGACCCTGGGATCACGACATGAGCCGAAAGCAGATGCTCAACCGCCAAGTCATCCAGGTGTCCCTCTTGTCTCATTGCTTTGACCAAGACACTACCCAGACCATACTCCTCATTCCAGAAAAGATGAAGTAGGCACATTTCTCTTTATTTTCCCTACAAAGTACAGATAAAAATACTGGACATTATATATAAAACACAACCACAAGATTAATTCTAAAAGCTGAAAATAAAATAGGCCAACTGGAGACATCTAGATCCAAGGAATGACATAGCAGCAGTTAGTTCCTTGGATTTCCTTTCTGTCACCTCTATATCCTGGGCTGTGATGAGACTATAATCCAAAAATGCCAATCCCGAGAAAAAATCTACTCTCTCCTGGTAAAGAACTGGAAAATACGCAGCCTAGCAAGACAGAAGCATTTAGACAATAACCACCCTCTTCCAGGCAAATAACATCAGAAAAATGTTCCCTTTCTATCAACAAAGGCCAAGTGGCAAATCTAGACTTCCACTCTCCCTTGTAAGGAGGAATCCCACCCTTCCCACTGGAGTGACAGTGGAAGAGGCTGAGTGGGAAGACTGAATGTCCACCTCTGCCCTGAAATAATGAGGTACTACTCCCCTTTTCTTGCGTGAGGTGGTGTTGAAGAAGGTCTAGTGGATTTTCATAAGCTCTCAATGGCAATAATTCATCCTCCTCCACCACTACAGTGTCAAAAATCAATCATCATACCAAGAACCATAAAAATATCAGCATGAATGAAAAAAATCTAAATCAATATGATAGATGTCAGAATTATCTGACAGGATTTTTAAAGCAGCCATCATGAAAATGCTTCAACAAGTAACTGTGGTGACACCTAGGTGACTCAGTGGTTGAGCATCTGCCTCTGGCTCAGGGTGTGACCATGGGGTCCTAGGATTTAGTCCTGCATGAACTCCCCACAGGGATCCTGCTTCTCCCTCTGCCTGTGTCTCTGCCTCTCTCTCTGTGTCTCTCACGAATAAATAAATAAAATCTCAAAAAAATATATAGTAATAATATCAAATGCTGTTGGGGATATAGAAGAATTGAATCTGTCACAAAGTACTAGTGGAAATGTAAAATGTTACAACTCTAGAAGAGTTTGGCAGTTTCTTAAGAAATTAGACATATATTTACCATACGACTCAGCAATCATTTCCTGGGCATTTATCCCAGAGAAATTTTTTGCTTTTTGTATTTGAAGATTTGTGATTACTAGTGATACACATTTATCATTGTTATATCTTCCTAATAAATTGATCCTTTATCAATATACTATGCCCCTCTTTATCACTTTGTCCTAAAGTCTACTTTATCTGATATCAATAAAGCTAGTCCAGCTTTCTTAAGCCTAGTGGCCGAATGTTATATATCCATCCATTTACTTTCCAACCCAACTGTGTCTTTATTTATAAGCTCACTTCTTGTAGACAACATATAATTTCATTTTGTTTTCTTATTCATTTAAAAAATCTTTGCTTTTTAATTGGAATATTGAGTCTATTTATACTTAGTGTAATTACTGATATAATTGAATTTAGGTATACCATTTTACTGTTTTTGCTTACTCTCTTTTTGGTGTCACCATTTTTCCTTTCTTTTCTTCTTAAAAGTTATTATTAGAAATTTTTTTAGAATTCATTTAGTGCCTCTATTGACCTTTTAGCTATTCCTACTGACATCATTTTCCTAGTGATTTCTCTTTATTTCCCATTTGGATATCTTTTTTTATGAAATACCTATTTCAGTTTCTTGTTCTTTGTGTTGTCTGCCTAATTCTTATTGATGGTAAGTCTTCTTTTTTTAAAAGGTTTTATTTATTTATTCATGAGAGACCCAGAGAGAGGCAGAGACACAGCCAGAGGGAGAAGCAAGCTTCCCATGGGAAGCCTGGTGTGGGGCTCAATCCTAGGACCCTGGGATCATGACCTGAGACAAAGGTAGATGCTCAACTACTGAGCCACACAGGTGCTCCAATAGTAAGACTTCTTTATGCATTATGGATATAAGACTCTTGTGGAATAAATGTATTATAAATATCATTCCCCTCTATATGGCTTAACTTTTTGTCTCTCATATTTAGTTAAAATAAGTTTTTAATTTTGCTGTAATATACTCTAAGCCTTGATTTTCTCATCTGGGAAATAAGAATTATGGTAGTATTTCACAGGGTTGTTATGAGGAATAAATAAAAGAATGCATATACTCCTGCCACTTTGCAAAACTCGGTAAATATTATGATCACCAGCGCTACCCTTTTCTCCTCCTTCTAATCTTCTCTTTTTAACATTTCCTATGTTTTGAGGATCTGAGCGGTCATATAATTTAGCAGAAAAGACTGACCATATGGCCTTGGTCAATTCCTAGCATCTCTGAGCCAATGATTCCTCATATGTAAAATGAAGGATTTCATCACCTTTGAGATTCAACTCATTTTTCCATCCCTTATTGACCACCTACAACTAGCAAGTAAGAGGGGCAGCCTGAGTGGCTCAGCGGTTTACCGCTGCCTTCAGCCCAGGGTGGGATTCTGGAGACCCAGGATGGACTCCCACATCGGGCTCCTTTCATGGAGTCTGCTGCTCCCTCTGCCTGTGTCTCTGCCTCTCTGTTTCTCATGAATAAATAAATAAAATCTTAAAAAAAACTAGCAAGTAAGAGAAGCATTGGAAAAAATAAAAATGGTTTGTTCACACTTCTCATTTTCATGACTCCTCCTACACTTGCAAGTGGTAGGGGAAGGGATGTGAGCACTGCGAGAAGGAAATAGTTCATTTTAATGACAGACATCCGGAGGACAACATGCTTGTTCCCCCAGTGCACTTCATCATTTTCTTTCTCCTCTTCCAGCTCACAGGTGAGTCCAGATCCTCCTATTCTCCTGACTGCCTTCCCTATCCTGACGTATATCTCTAGGCTTCTGGGTCTACTCTGGAACTCTGGTCCAACTCAGGTAGCTCTGCTACTTCATCTAATATCTTTCTATAATCAGTGGTCTCTAAATCACAAGAAAGGAAGAAAATACTAAGAATGAATAACTGTAGGCATAGACTCTCCTTCAACTGTCCCAGGAAGGAATGGCTGAAAGAAGGGGTATTGGGTATTAGAAAGACCTGTATTCTAATCTAGATCAGATCAATTAAATAAAGAATGCTTTCTTCCCTGGGCCTCCTCTTTCCTTCCCTTTGAGGACTATTTTAAAATCAAACTGAGATCATACAGGAATATATTTATTTATTTATAGATATATATTTTAAATATTTATACTTAAACATATTTATAAGTATATATTTAGAAATATATTAGAAATATATTTAGAAAAGTATTTTTAAATGATTATGCATAACAAGGATATTAATGGAAGGAAACATTTGAATTTTCTCTCTTAACCCAAATAATTCAATCAGTCTCTACTTAGAAAAACTGCTCATACTGTAGGTATTTTATTTTTAATACTATGAAGGGCTGAAGAAGTCCTTCTATGAAGACTTCTGTTCCTGTCACAAGAACTCGAGTCTTTGAAGATTTTACTATCCTCAGGACTCTCAGGAAGGACCTGGAGCCCCGTAATTTAGAGATATCTCTCTGGTCACCAAACTCATGGGGTACCACCATGAGGTCTCCCTCTAAGGGCTTGGCTGCTATGTTTATGTGTGCCTCAGCCTGCCTCAAGTGACCTGCCCAAGACCACATAGTCAGCCAGCGCTCCCAGTCCTGTCCCCCCCACCACCACCTGGCCTCACTAAGGGTTCAGCATCTGCAGACTGTTTAACCTCCTTGAATGCAAAAGAATTTTGCGTATTTAGGAAGCACCTGGTTCTAAGCAAGTGGCCCTAGAGGCTTTTATTTTAAAAACCACTCCCTGAATAGAAACAGTGATCAGAAGTGGAACTTGAAGGTGACATGGGAAGGACACAGCAGTGCTTTTCAAAACCCCAGGTGCCTACCTGAAACCTAAACTGTGGGCAGCAGGGTAGGTGTGTGTGTGCTCTCCTCAAGAAGGCTGTGGATAGCCTGTGAAGTACACCTCCCACGGCTGAAAGGAGTCCAAGACTGTCCTAGAGCCTCTCATGGGCAGGACAGTGGAAGCAGTGCTGGCCTTGAACAAGGACTCCTGGATTTGACTCAGTAGCTATTATGGAGGATAAGTTACTCAGCCTCTGATCCTTGGTTCACACAAGTACATAACAGAAAATGAAGTTCCAGAATTACTATGATGTTTTAAATGAGACATATAGGATAGTAATAATCATGTGTTTTAAGTTCTGCCTATGTCCAAGGCATTTGTCTACATCTATAAAGATAGACATTATTATCCTTTCATAAAGAAACTGGTGCTTGAGAGGTCAAGTATCTTGGGCAAGATCATACAGACACTAAAAAGTAGAGCCGAGATTGAGTTTCCAAAGCTAGTGCTCTTTCCATCACACCAAATTCACTAATGCTATGCCTGATATTGGAGAAGTATTCAGTAAATGTGTAGTTTAGCTGAATCTTCCTCAGGAAAGCTAGTTGACATTCTTTACGTCTCCAGCTACCTGAGACCAAGGTAACTACAGATTGAAAATGCCCGAGAAGAGCAGGTCATTCCGTCTCCAGGATGTGGATATACCAACAGGGAACCACCTTGGCTGAGTTCAGAAGGGCCAAAGAGAAGTTTCTCATCTGGAAAATAGGCACAATAATCTGTGTTTCCCACCCCTCCTCACAGATTTTTGTGAGGATCAAGTGATGCAGTGGTGTTGAGACAATAAAAGGAGAACAAAAAAAAGTGATGAGCAGGTACTGGGGAGGTGTTGAGAGGACCAGAAGAGACAAGAGGGAGTAGAGGGAGATGAGTGAGGGACAGAGCACTGGGAGCTTGTACATGAACGTGGTGGATTAGGGCTGGGCTGGAGTGTTGGCAAAGGCATATGGCATATCGAGAGGTTTGCAAATCTCTGTTCCATGTGTACCAGACATGGTGCTGATTTAAAATTCTCTCTCCATGGTACATTAGTCACGGGGAAATTGGGTAAGAAGCAGTAGTCTCCAAAATTGTTTTTTTCTTTCTCAAGCAGGAATTTGCTTTTATGAAATGAAATCTTATGCAGAATCAAATGTGTAAATTACTGTATAGAGTCAGAGCCTCCTTGATGGAAAAAGAGCCTCTGAGCCTCCACCCCATCACCCATCTTCGCCCCCAATACTTTCTCTAAGCTCTTCAGAAACACACTGAGGCAGTGCTACAGGCTTCAGGGGTGTTGGGGGCATACCTTGGGAAGCCCTGCCCTAGGAGTCCTGGCTCCACTGACTTAGAGCATGTCACTGTGACCCTTGAAGCATCAGTCTCCTGACCTGTGAAGTGGGATGGAACTAAGTAGTCCCTAAGACCTCTCCCAGCTCTGAGATGCTCTGGTTTCCATCCCATTCCATAAGATGCCATGATATGCTGGTACATTCTAAGGGAGGCACTGCATCCTGGTAGAGGTGCTTGGGGACCAGGCTGGCAAGCAGGAAGTGAGCTTTACAGCCTCCCCTACCGTGAAGTCTTCCTCCTGGGTACCATCTCTTGATTCTGGCTGTACTAATGATGTCCCTTCCTCCTAACTTGGCTCCTTTGCTCTACTCAATTCTTGCATTTTGTGGGGGAACAGGTGAAGAGGAGGAGGTGATAACCCAGAGGAAAAGGAGGTGGCAAAGGGGAGGAGCTGTGTTTCCCTTCCTGTTATGAAGAGCATCTTACAGTTGACTTTTTGATGCCAAAATATCTGAGTCTTGGCCAGGACGGAAGCCAGAGGGTCTCCTGCTCCAGCTCCCCCCACCTCCAAAGGCAAGTTGGCAGGGAACACTTGCTACAAGAGATCTCACCATGCATGGTGATTGGACATAGTGTTTTGCTTTGAATTAGCCAGTGAATGGTCGGTCTATAGGCATTAAGTTCCAGGCCACCTTTGGAGAAGCCCATTCTGCTGAGAAGCCATCCAAAGAAGTCTCGGGAAATCTCTGTTTCTCACTTCTAGCCATCGTTGGGGAATTGAGAATTAAAAATGAGAAGCCTTCTCAAGGCCTGTCTCATAACACTGCTCCTAGCCCTCCCCTCCCACTTCCTACTGTGTGGCAGAAGGCTCTGTACTTCTTGAAACACTTTCATCCACCCCAAATCCTGGCAAAGGTTCGTATTCAGTCTCCCTATTATAGGTTCCCCCAGTGCCTACTACTTCCCCTTTCATAACCCATACAGCCACTTATTTAATGACTATCTCCTAACTCCATGAGTACAGGATCAGGATGGTGTTGCTCCCTAGTTATATCCTCAGCTCCTAGACAGTGCCTGGCACAAATATGGAACAAGATCAATTCTTACAATTCACCAATTGTGTGAATTCCTCACAATTCAGAAGGAATGACTGAATGAAGACAGGATGATCTATGTAGACCACAGAGCAGGGAAATTCAGTTCAGCTTTGGACAGAAGCCTCTTGTTTCTAGATCCCTCTAACAGTCACCTCTGTCTTGGCATTCACCCAGAGGATATAGCACCGTATGTGTGAAGGGGTGAAAAAATGATTGCCCCTAGCCTAAGTGTGTGCACACATGCTGTAATGCTAAAGCCACATCCTTGCAGCTCTATCATCTTTTCAGCTTAAACACCTTCCAAACCTTTTTTTTCCCCAAAGATCTTATTTACTTATTCATGAGAGAGAGAGAGAGAGAGAGAGAGAGAGAGAGGCAGAGACATAGACAGAGGGAGTGGCAGGCTCTCCACAGAGAGCCCCATGCGGAACTCGATTCCAGGACCCTGGGATCATGCCCTGAGCTGAAGGCAGATGCTCAACTGCTGAGCCCCTCAGGTGTCCCAATCTTCCCAAACCTTGTGTAAAAGTCCAAGATTACACCTCTTTGGGGCCAAGTGATAACCAGTCTTTATTAGACTGCAAATTATTCACCTTATGTTGAAGTAAAAGGATGTAAACATTAGTTGATCAGTTCAAACTGACACTGACTTTGTAGCATGTACTGGGTCTGTTTTGATAGCTGTTGAGATGATCAAAGACAGAGCATCCTGCTTTAGTATTAGAGATGATGGGGAGCAACTTTTTGAAAAATCCGATTCCTTAACAGAATGACTTGATAAAGTCTCAAGGGATCCAAAGAATGTATGCACTGACTGATAAATTATGGGGGGCAGGGGGCAGCAATGTTTGAAAACAGGAATCAGCTGCCAAGAAAGGCATTTACCCAGGGGGGAAGCCAGTACTTTTGGAGATAAATTTAGCAGAAAAACTTGGTTAAAATTCCAAAACTGTAATCAAGGGACTAGGTCAACATTTGGTAGCATCAGATTCCCTTTCTCTGGGGCACTAGTAGAGCAGCTTGTGCTTGAAGGAAGGTCACCAAAGAACATGAGGGGAAAACTGCATTCCGTAAGGCCCAAGGGCTTCAGAATTGACACCTGAGCCCTTGCTGCTGAAGAGGAGTGAGAGAGAGGGATGGAGCTAGCACAAATGCCCCGGGGCCCTCAAACTGAGCCATAGTGGAAAGACCCCAGGCTCCGGAGCTGGAGTGACACTGGGTTATATCTTTGAATCATCACCTACTAGTTTTGTGCCTTTGGACAAGTTATTTAGGTTTTTTTGAATCTCAGTTTTCTCATCAAATCAAAAGTTGTTTTGTTTTTTTTTTAAAGATTGTATTTATTTATTCATGAGAGACACAGAGAGAGAGAGGCAGAGACACAGGCAGAGGGAGAAGCAAGCTCCATGCAGGAAGCCCGACGTGGGACTCGATCCCACGACCCCAGGATCATGTCCTGGGCCAAAGGCAGGCACCTAACTGCTGAGCCACCCAGGCATCCCTCATCAAATCAAAGTTAACAAATTTTTGTTGTAAAGGGTCAGATAGTAAATACTTTAACCTTTGCAGGCAATATAACCTCTGTCGAAATTATTCAACTCGGCATTTGTAGTGGAAAAGCAGCAATAAATAATATAGAAATGAAAGAACATGTCTGTGTCCTGGGGTACCTGGGTAGCTCAGTCAGTTGGGACTCCTACTCTTAGTTTTAGCTCAGGTCATGATCTTAGGGTCATGATCTCAGGGTCATGGGATGGAGCCCTACATCAAGCTCTGCACTCAGCACAGAGTCTGCTTGTCCCTCTCCCTCCCACTCTGTTCCTCCTCACTCCAGCTGTCTCTATATAAATAAATAAATAAATAAATAAATAAATAAATAAATGATTTTTAAAATCTTTTAAATAAAGAACATGGTTGTATTCAAATAAACCTTCATTTAACAAAATAGGCAGCAGGCCACATTTGACCCATGGACTATATAGGTTGTTGATCCCTGTGTAAAAGGATCAAAATTCCTAGTTTTCAGGATTGCTTTAGGTGTTAGGCATAATCTTTATAATAAATGTTTAGCACATACTCAACCCTAATACATAGCAACTATATTGGGAACTCTTGCCAGGGTAGTTGGGTTTTAGCAGAAACTATGAAAATAAATCCCTAGTGAAGCAATTTTAGATCCCTGCATAGGACAGTACAGGAGTTTGTCTTTTGCTAGAAGAGGAATGAGTTGCATCAGTGCAAGGGAGGTAGAAAACATTATGGTAAGACAACACCAAAAAAAACAAATACTCCAATTAAAAATGGGCAGAGAACCGGAACAGACATTTTTCCAAAGAAAATTTCTATGTCTAGAGATGAGCGATAAATGCATGAAAAGATGTTCAACATCACTAATTACCAGGGAAATGCAAATCAACCACAATGAGATATTGCTTCATACCAGTCAGAATGGCTATATCAAAAAGACAAGCAATAACAAATGTTGGTGAGGGTATGGAGAAAAGGCAATCCTAGCTCACTGTTGGTGCGAATGTAAATTGGTACAGCCGCTGTGGATAACAGTATGTAGTTTCCTCAAAAAGATAAAAATAGAAATACCATATGGGCCAGTAATTCCACCGCTGGGCATTTACCCCAAGAAAATTAAGACCCTAACCCTAAGCATCTCTATGTTTACTGCAGCATTATTATAATAGCCAAGATATGGAAGCAGCCCAGGTGTCTATCAATAGATGAATGGATAAGGAAGACGTGGGTTAGACACACAATGGAATATTACTCAGCCACAAAAAGGAATGAAATCTTGCAATTTGCAACAACGTGGATGGACCCACGGGGTATTTATGCTAAGTGAAATAAGTCAGACAGGGAAAGACAAATACAGTATGATTTCACTCGGATGTGGAATCTAAAACAAACAACCAAACAAAAAATAGAAATAGACTCATAAATACAGAAAACAAACTGATGGTTGCCAGAGGGAAGAGGGAGTGAGGAGGGGGGGGATGAGTGAAATAGGTGAAGAGGATGAAGAAGTACAAACTTCCAGCTATGAGATAAATAAGTTACAGACATGAAAAGTAAGGAACAGAGAATAGAGTCAGTAATGTTCTAATAACGTAGTATGGTGACAGACAGTGACTACACTTATCATGGTGAACACTGCATAAAGTATGGAATTATTGAATTACTATATCGTACACCTAAAACTAATATAATTATTGTATGTCAACTATACTTCAATTAAATATATATATATATATGGTGGGATGCCTGGGTGGCTCAGTGGTTGAGCATCTGCTTTTGGCTCAGGGTGTGATCCTGGGATCCTGGGATCGAGTCACACATCAGGCTCCTCACAAGGAGCCCTCTTCTCCCTCTGCCTATGTCTCTGACTCTCTCTCTGTGTCTCTCATGAATAAATAAATTTTTAAAAATCATATATATAGGGCAGCCTTGGTGGCTCAGCGGTTTAGCACCAGCCTTCGGTCCAGGGCGTGATCCTGGAGACCCCAGATCAAGTCCCATGTCGGGCTCCCTGCATGGAGCCCGCTTCTCCCTCTGCCTGTGTCTCTGCCTCTCTCTGTGTGTCTCTCATGAATAAATAAATAAATAAATTTAAAAAATCATATATTTATGTGTGTGTATATATATATACCCATATATATATATACACATATATATATATATATATAAACGGATCCAGCTTTGACACAAAATAGAACCTGGATACTTGGTTAATCACACAGAGCCAGTTAGGCACAATGCCCACAGTAGTTTGAATGTCTTTCAAAATCAGAAGAAAAATGAATATGGTAACAATAATAATATGTAATAATGAATCTAGCTGGCACTATATCCATTTTTATACCAGTGTAGTCATAAAATATAATTTTTAGTATTTTTTTATGGATGAAGGGCCAACTAAGGCAAAAGTGAATACAGCCTACAAAAGTCATGGCGCAGCCCAGCAGCTGCCTCACTACAATACAACTGTCAGGAGCCGATAGCCTGGTTACTTTGTTAGTTTCTAAAAAGATTTTCCTAAGGCCCCTGGCTGGCCCAGTTGGTGAAGCGTGTGACTCTTGATCTCAGGGTTATGAGTTTGAGCCCCACATTGGGTGTAGAAATGACTTAAATTTTTTTCTTTATTTCCTCATTTCTGTGCTCTTAGAAATTTCCCCATGACCCATATGTTAAGAGGTAGAAGGGGAAATAACTGGGTTTTGTACCTGTATGGAGCACACTTTTAAGAATAAATAAATAAAATGGGTTCTGTTTTTAGTTTTGCCGCTATTTTTGATCCTTGAATACTTTCTTTCAATCTCTGCTATTTGGTTTTCTCGTTTATAAGTGATGACCTAGGGATCCCTGGGTGGCGCAGCGGTTTAGCGCCTGCCTTTGGCCCAGGGCGCGATCCTGGAGTCCCGGGATCGAATCCCACGTCGGGCTCCCGGTGCATGGAGCCTGCTTCTCCCTCCGCCTGTGTCTCTGCCTCTCTCTCTCTCTCTCTCTCTCTCATAAATAAATTTTAAAAAATTAAAAAAAAATAAGTGATGACCTATGAGGCCTCGATCCTATGGGTACTGATGTGATCTCTGCCTCTTACTAGACTATTACTTTTAGCAAGTCATTTAACTCATTATGGCTCAGGTTCCTGTTCTGTAAGAGGAGAATATTTTTTTAAAAAAATCCTTCCTCTAAGCACTGTTTTAAAAGTTAAATGAGATCACAGTAGATGCTTTAAGCTGTTAGCCCCTATCTAAATTCCATTTGTGCTCTGTGCTATCATGAGTCTGTCCCTCAGATCTTAACAGGTAGAAGATTCATTCCCTATACTTGTTCACTAGAAATGCTCTGTGAGCTACTCCTGGAAGCTTTTTCCACAGCTATTCTTGACTATTTTCCATCCAGAACCACATTACCAGTGGCAGTTGTTTATACATCGTACTTTTTGAGGTGAATTAAGGTTGTGGTGAAACAAAAATTTCTCAGCGAAGTGAACCCCTACTACAACTCCTAATAGTTGGGGGTAAGCATCATGAGTCAGTCTGGGCATACTGTAAAGCATCCAGTAATTCATGCTTTGGCTTTCCACTTAAGAAAGGACACAGAAATTCCAGTGAGTGAAATCCTTACTTAGGGATGATCTCAAATGCACTCTAATTTATCAGAAAACAGAAAATGAAACACCTGTAAGTTTCCAAGCTCTTATCACTAGGAACTTAGAGCTCCCTCCCCAGTGTCCTGATCTCTAATTGAGAACCATTGCCCCCATTAACAGACAAGCTGCTGCTTCTGCATCTGCATCAAAATCAGTACTCCCCCCCCAAAAAAAAATCAGCACTCCCAGGAGCAATCTGGAGTCCCAAAGGGGGATTTGGATGAAAACCTCCTCACTTGTCCCCTAATGGGAACTTATCCAAGATGAAGCTGGCCTCATGAGCTACCTCAGAGCTTGGTCTTTCCAGCCTGAGGTCTCTGGGAAGGGGTGGGTTCACCTGTACTCCCTCCTTTCAGGCAAAGCATTCTGACTTCAATGCCTTTGCGTGAGTGAGGTTTCAAAGGGCTTCCCAAGGGCTTAGTTGGGTTGGCCCCAGAGAGTTTCTTGGGACCTTCCCAAGACCCAAAGCAGGTGAGTAATTTGGTGGCAAGGGCGGCGACTTAGGTTTATTTTATGGTTCTCTGTGTCTGCAGGGCCAGTAACCTCTGGAGCTCTGAAGGAGCTAGTTGGTGACCTTGGTGGGTCTGTGACTTTCCCTCTGAAGCTCCCAGGAATTCAGATTGACAGCATTGTCTGGATCTTCAACACAACCCCCCTCATCACCATACAACCAAGAACGCCAGACAGACAAGCCAATGTCATAGTGACCCACAGTCATAATAAGAAAAGGGTGGATTTCCTACATGGAAACTACTCCCTGAAGCTCAGCAAACTGAATAAGAGTGACTCGGGTGACTACCACGTGGTGATATACAGCTCTTCCTTCAAAGAGCCCTTCATCCAGCGGTATGGGCTGCGTGTCTATGGTGAGCAGAATCAGTTCCAAAGGTGGATGACTGCCTTCATAAAGTGGTAAACACTCTGATATTGGAGATGTCCAACAAAGGTTGGATAGACACTTGGCAAGAATGTGGAAGAGGTTTCCTGCATGGATGAAGTAGATATAGTTGACCCCTAAGGCCCCTTCCTATTCTGCAAGAGGCAATACAGTGCAGAGGATGGGTGAAAGGGGAAGCAGTGATCACACAAGTCAAATGCTGGCTTCTCGACCTACTAACTGCATGGCCTTAGCCAGGCTACTTAAGCTCTGTGAAACTTGGTTTCCGTATCTATAATGAGGAGGAAGGGGATACCTATCTTAGAACGATTATTGTGTGTAAACATCAATTACACCTCCTTCCCTACAGTTTCCAGCCAATCGAGAAATCCACACAAGAATCAAAAGGAAGATAAAAATATCAGCTTTATTTTTTCTGGTGAAACTAGATAGGAGAAATATTTTCCCCCAAGTCTAGACCTTGGAGCCCATTCAGGGAAGATGAACAATTAGTCAACAAGTTATAAAAATAACTGAGCTGCAGGATCAGGGATACCCAGAAATGGGCCTCCAGGTTTGCCCTTAAGAGGTGGGAAAAAAAAAAAAAGAGGTGGGCCTTGTACCTTGATCCAGGTGTGTCCTCCACATAGACATAGTTGAAAGGAACAGAGAGCATGCATTATGCAGTCAACCTAGGTGGGGGAGAGAGAAAGGGCAAATCACACTTAAACGGCAATCTTAAGAGCTCAAAGTAGAGAAATGTAGTAATGAAATGATGTTGGATGTCAGATTCTCACCATCTCATCCATGAACCAATTGCTCATCCTCTCGGGGAGAAAAATGAGCAGAGGAGGATCAGAAATATTATTCCCACACTATTCGCTCCTGGAGCATAAAGTGAAAGTCTCTTCAAGGAAGCCTGAAGACATAAGAATAGGAAGCGTCTAAAAAACATAAAATTAGCTCCCATTTAAAATGCATCTAGCACAAGGCTGGCCATATAGCATATAGCTTTGCTTCGAAAATGGCAGCTGCGTTCTTGTTGCATTATCATTATTTCTATTGCTATCATTATTACTTTTATATAGCTGTGGGAAGGTAGACCTAGACAGTTCCACTTCCCAGATAAGAATGAGAATTCTGCTATGAATTGCTGCTTCCTCTCCACTCTGTAGCACCCCAGAGATTCTGCACCCCAGGTCTACGCTGTACAAGAATAATTCAGAAACAGCATAGTTTCTACTCTCGGTTGTCCATTTCTCTTGCAGAGCACCTATCAAAGCCCAAGGTTACCATGGGTCTGCAGAACAAAGAGAATGGCACCTGTGTGACTAATTTGACCTGCTTCGTGGACCAGGGAGGAGAGGATGTGACCTACAGCTGGGAGTCCCTGGGGCAGGCAGCCAATGAGTCCTATAATGGCTCCATCCTCCCCATATCCTGGAGGCTGGGGAAAGGGGGCATGACCTTCATCTGCGTGGCCAGGAACCCCATCAGCAGCAATTCTTCAAATCCTGTCTTTGCCTGGAAGCTCTGTGAAGGTGACTGTCTCCTCTCTTTCTCCAGGGGCCTCTGTCTCACGACCTATACCTTCTTCAGCTGCTGGTCCCCAGCGGAACAGCCCATGAAACCTGGAGGCCCCTGGGAAGTCACCCCACTGGGAGGATGGTGGCAGTTGCTCCAATAGTTGGGTCGTCTTCCCTAGCTGATTCCTCTCCCATCCCTGTGCCTCCACCGATTCTCTCTTTAAAGGTACTGCTGATGACTCCGAATCCTCCGTGGTCCTGTACTTCCTGGGAGCATTGCTCTTCATGCTCACTGCCTTTACCCTGGTGCCAGTTATTCTGTTTATGCGGAGAGAAAGAAGAAAAGGTAGAGCATGCACTATTTTTGCTTTCAGCCTCATTCATGCATTTGTTCCCTCATCTATTCAACAAATACTTGTTGAACTGTGTGTCCGTCCTGGTACAAGGCACTAAGTGAAGCAGTCACACTCTCTGTCCCCAAGGAAAGCACAGTCATCCTGACTCCTTAATTCTGGAGTAAGGGAGTGCTTCTCTTCTAAGTCCGAAGTCCTCCCAGTTCCCTCTCCAGTGCCCACTCCTCCCCTTCCCCCAGAGGGAAGTTGTGGTCCTCCTGTTGACACAAGCCCTACACTGCTGACTGCGTCTCTGACCCGGGAGACAAGGGCCTCCAACTCTGAGGTCCCAGAGACCAACACACTCCAGCCAGCCCTTCCAATTGCCCTGTCAGAGCCCTCAAACCAGACCCAGTCCTCCTCATTGAATAAATTCCAGAGACCTCTCTTTACTCCCCACCTCAGTCTAGACACATTCCTCCTGAGCAGGCCTGTCTGTCTCTCCATGCCAAACCCCATGCTCCACATCCCTGCTGATTCGTCTTCTCAAGTTCCCCCAATACTGTCCATATGGGGTGTTGTGAAGGGACCTAAGCACCAGTTGCATATAAATTGCAGTTGTTAAGATCTTTCCTCCCTCTTGAAAGCACTCTGAAAGTGTTTCTGACTTTTCTCTGCTTCCCCTTTGTCTGCCTTCACCCAGAATTTGGATAGTGAAGTAACCACAGTAACCAGTTCATTGTGGGATTTTCCTGCATGTAGCCCTGAAAGTCCCATGTCCCAGAATACCTTTCAGTTGTAGGGAAGCCAGCATGGAAGTCATCCGAAGTGGGTCTTCCAGGGGGTAGGATGGTGGAGGTGGTGAATCAGAGGAGGGCCAGCTCTGATTCTCTCCCACCTTGGTTTTCAGAGTCCATTGAAGAGAAGAAGGGAATGGATACTCATCAGGAAATTCTTAACTACTATCCCCCTTCTGGAGAGACCCCAGTGTATGACACAATCAGTTGTGTTTATGTGAGTCCTTTCCCATCTTTCCTGGGGCCTGATCTTCCTAAGACCCTCCTTGCTTTAGTTAAGATTTCTCTGTGGACTTGAGCAACATGGATTATGAGGATGAATCCCTTGAAATCCAACACATCTGTGTCTCCCCAAGTCCTTATGGATACTTTCCTGTGCCAGAGTCAGGGACCTCTGGTTCTGAGCCCCTGGGTCTGACCCAGCCAGTAATGCTCACCCTGGGATCTATCTCAGGTAATCTATGGGCCTCTCCCCTCTGCTGTTCCCAAGGGCCACTCAACAGGCCAAACTCCTTTTGCAAAAGACAGCAGGTAGAGAAGTGTGACTTTGGCCTCATGTTTGAGTTATGGTGTCAGACCACTGGCTGTGGAGATGCCTTTTCCATCAGGAGACGTTTCTGGGGCCCACAGTTGCTTTAGGCCCACAATCAAGGCTTTTAGGTGCGGGACACCAAGCTGAAATAAGCAAACACATGGTCAACTCAAAGGAAACTCTTTGAAAAGAAGATCATAAGTTTAAAGAAACCCAAATAATAAGACAATTTGGAGACATGACCTAGGCAGACAACTTCAAAAGGCCCCCCAGGAATCACAGTAGCCCCAGCCGGGCTAGCTCCATAGAGGCCATAGAGCACTTTTCTACATTGGCCCATTTAATGAAGAAATAAAAGCACTTTGGGGCCTCAGCAAGCCAGCTTCAGTGCAGCCCTTGGTGTCTCAGGTTGTATCTTCCTGTGCTTACCTACAACCTTTCTGAGAGGAGACATTGCACTTCCTTTTGAAGCTGTTAGTGTCCTGAGAGCTCCTTTCTGCCTCACAGGGGACACTGCTCTGGGCTCCACCCAGCCTGGCTTATGTCAAAATGGATTGCTTTATCACCATCCTCCTACTTCTCTGCTCAAGACATACTCCCAAGAGGCCACAAAACTATCCTGGATTTCAGGAGAAAACATCATGGACCCAGGATACTTTTCTCCAGCCTGGAAGGAGCTTTTGCTGTTGCTATCATTGTAGTTTTGTTGTTTTGACCCATCAGTCATCCTCACATATTTGCTCCGAGGGCCCTTTAGGTCAAAGGAAAAGCTTACTTGCAACACTAGCAATATTACTTCAAATTATCCTCCAATCACCTTAGGCTGCTCATAGCTCATGGGACTTCTATACCTTAGACATTTTCAAATTTATTTAAATACAACACAGCTTAAAAATCAGGCAGTTGCTTCTTGAAAAAAAAAAAGGTTTTAATCATTATGATAGCACTCACCAACAAGAGTCCCTCCCTGTCCTCATTCTTGGTCCAGAACCTCTCTTCCTCCTTGGCCATCCTCCCATCTCTGCTTTCTCTTCTCTGGATTCTGGGTGTCTCTTTGGGCTTGTCTAGATGACCCTATGATTTCTTTTTTCTTTTTTTAATAGAACTGTATTCCAGAAGAAAATTCTGCAAATACACTTTATTTCTCTGTGCAAATACCCCCAAAGGTAAGAAGCTTTAGAGCTGAGATTTACCTTACTTGTCTCATCTCTTCCTGGTGCAAGCTTAGCTGAAAATGTGTTGGGGCCCAGGGATTTCATATTCTCTGATATTAAAAATTTTCCCCAGTACATCCCATTCCCTTTGCTTAGGGTTACACAGAATATATGGAATAAATGATAATTATGTTTTAGGAGTTGAATGCGGTAATATGGAGCAAATAGAGAGGGAGAGAGGTTCTAGGTAGGGATGATCAGGAAAATCAACAGGATCCTGAGGATTTGGATGGAGGAAAGTCCAAGGCTTGGGCCTCAGAGAGGAGGATTGCCGGGGAGACAACTCCAGCTTGCTTCTGAGCCACCAGTAAGCTGGAAGCAGGAGAGATTTCTGTTGCTTTTCTTTGGTCTAACTATGTTACATCTGGTTTGCAACCTCTCCCCAGTTATGCTACTAGTGTGCTAGCTTTAAAGCTTATTCCTTCACAGATCACACTTGGCAGAAGCAATGGTATCTTCCCATCTCCCCTCCCAAATGGGTCAGAAAGGATGAAGATGAGCAAAGCAGTTTGCATAATAGTAGGAAAGTAATAGGATAATTGGAAGTAAAGTTCAGTTCACTAAGCATTCAGCAAGTAGATGTGGTGTAACCTTAAGTAATAGTTTCTCTACAGTGGGAGGTTTGGGATGGGTGACCTTGGCAAGGAAGGGTGTCTGGGGTGGTGGGGTCTCCTGGTGGGATCCAGCGCCCTCCCACCTCAGCAATTTGCCTCTTTATATCTGCCTAACAGATGGAGAAACCCCACTCTCCCCCCACATCGCCAGACACACCAAAGTCATTTGCCTATGAGAACGTCATCTAAACACCAATACATCCCTTCTGCCTCCCCGCAAAGGAAAAAAAATCACTGAATTGACCAGAAATATTGAGGAAGAATGAAGAACACTGACTTCCTTCCAGAATAACTCTCCTCTCTACTCCTTCATATTTGAGTTCCTAACGCCATCGACTCCTGAGAAATCTCCTCAAACCCCATATGTGTAACTATCCCTTCCTGGAAATGTTACTGTGAATTTATCATGCAATCCCAAGCAAGAGGCTTAGAAGTATCTCTATTGAAATGTCAATGCATTGTCCATCATACGAATGACAGCTCCCGTTCCAGGGCTTGGAGATCAGGACTAGACCAAGAGTCTTGTGGCCAAAAGGGTGAGAACATAGGAATAGCAGACATTCCCAGAAGAAGCAGGGGTAGCAACCAGAAATGGAGTCATTAACCAACTCATTACCTATGTGCCTGGCACTGTGCTGTGCTTACACTGATTTTGGTCAGGTGTGCTCTCTGCTCTCATGAAATTAGTTCCTCGTGAATGACTTCAGTGGGCATTAGCAGCAGATCTGACCACAAATTCCCAAGAACAAGAGAGTCAGGTATGGATCCATAGGACCTGGGAGCCAAAGTGTCCAAGGACAGAGAAGCCATGTAGAAGATGGGGTTTGGCTGGATGGATTCTCTGAAGTGTACCTGGCCCGAAGACAAGGACCAATGGCCTCAGCTTTACTTACACTCTGCAGTGCAAGTGAGAAGCCAGGGCCTTAGGGCTTGTTCAGAAGCACATCTCAATAGAGAAACTCCACATCTCAATGGAGATGTCACCTTTAGAATATATTATAAAAGACTTGGAGATAGGGGTGATTGTGTGTAAATATTTAAAGTCACATAGTCTGTTCACCTAATATTTATTGAAGATCTCGGCCAGGTCAGTCTGGCAAATAAACCTGACATAATCTCTGCCTCCCTTTTTAGAGTTTACCCTTTTAATGAAATGAAAAACATGGCAAGGAGGATGATTACTCTTGATATGTTTCTGGACACATCTTGAATGAAAATACTGGGAGGGGATCTGATGCTCCAGGTCTGAGGAGTGTGAACTGTCAAATGACAAAACTAAAACAGTTTTGCTTGAAGTCCTTTATTCAAAGGAAAACAACTCATGGATTAGGGGGGCACAGTGACCCAGGAGCAGTGGAGCACACTTCTCAAGGGATTTGGGGCAAGGCCAGTTTTACAAAGAAGTAGCAGAGATAACATGGAAACAGGGCATAATTGGCTAGGAGAGTGGGGATTTCTTGAGTGAGGTGAACTTCCCAACAATAGATGAGTTTCTTTAGACACCCCTCATTCTCCCATTCACATCCCACAGTCTCTTGCATTGGGCTGGCTGCTTTCATGTGAAGTAAAGTTTTGCTCTGTAGGTCCTCACATGACTCCTGTGGGGCAAGCTGGTCTGGGTACTTAAGTCCATTCTACAAATGTTGAATTTGAAGCAAAGAGAAACTTCAGTATGTGACCAAGGCTAGAAAAAAAAGTGGTGCCCTCTCTACCACCTATCGTCCACCACAGAGGATGAGGAATATGGGAGCTCAAAGCTTGAGAGGGGTGGATCCCCCTCTTCCCAAATGTTGCATGGAGGAAAGGATATAGTTTTGGAGACAAGCAGCCCTGGCATCAAAAGTCCTTACTAGTAGAGTGATCTTTCAAAGACTTAGGTTCTGTGAGCTTCTATTTTCTTATTTCTAAAGTCCTTATAGGGTTTGTAATGTGGAATTATTTGAAACAAGTCTTGAGTACATGGTATGTATAATAAGATTCATATATGGGTCATGATGCTTAAAGAAGAGAATAATACAGAAAAAAATAGTTTAACTTCCCACAAGTCAACTTAGCATAAGATACGGAAGCATTAAAATGAAGAATCAGCCCTTAAAAAGAGAGGCGTCTGGTGTAGGAGAGAAGAAATTTTCCCTTTTCCTTCCTAGATCCTTTGGCTGGTGGAGTAATTAAATTGACAAACGATAGATTAAAATTGAATAAAATTGATTTCATGTGTATGAGCCCCATAAAATAATATGAGACTCAGGCAGGCAGGCAATTGAGGCTTTTATACCATCCTGAGCTAAGGAAAGGGGTTGAGGTCTAGGGCTTCAATGGGGAGGAAGGCAATTCACAGGAGGATAAGAAGAGCAAAGGTTTTGGTGTTTTTTTTTTTTTATTCATGAGAGACAGAGAGAGAGAGGCAGAGACACAGGCAGAGGGAGAAGCAGGCTCCATGCAGGGAGCCCGACGTGGGACTCGATCCCGGGTCTCCAGGATCACGCCCTGGGCTGAAGGCAGGTGCTAAACCACTGAGTCCCCTAGGCTGCCCAGAGCAAATGTTTTGTATACAGTGTTTGCCCTGCCACGCAGATAAGTCTCCCAGATGAAAACATTACCTCTGGTAGTGGCTTTCTTTCTGGTACAGGCCCCTTTCTAAATTTAATTGGTAGTTAAGGGAGAGGCAAAAATCTTTTCCTGAGTCTGTTGGATCTTCTTGATTGATTTCACTTCAAAATAATCCACCTGCCAAAATGTGGGTGGTATATTTTGGGATAGAATATTCTGCTCTCCTTCAATGGTGTCAAAAATGATTAACAAAAAGTAGGTAATACAAACAAACTTTGTTGAGCACTTTATGAAGTGGGCAGTGGCCGCTTGGAGACCTGCAAAATGGGGCCAAAGGTCAGGAGCCTTCATAAGTTAAAGAATGAAGAAGAGAAAAATGGAAAATATCTCATTGGCTAGAGCCACAAATCAGCCTCATTCGGAGTGAGACGGTCCCAGGTTGGCTTGTCATTTGGAGGTTGGTTGACTGGAAATATCCCTGGGTTCCCGATCGAGCAGGCCATTTGCAGGTACACAAAAGTTATCCAAGTTTGTTTGGACATAGGTTATATGTCACCTTGGACAGAACTGGTCCTTCTTGAACCTAGAAACTTAACACTGGCTTACAACAAAGGGGGCAGGAAGAGAGGGAGAAAATGGGAATTTATTTTCCTCCGTTTTGAAAAAACTTAAAATAATGCTTCCTGGGCAAGAATGGGATTGAGAATCATCTCGTCTCAAAAAGATACTGTGAGATTTACACACAAAAATATGCATTATTTTGCCATTTGTTATAGTGATATTCTGGAAACCACCTAAGACTCTAACCACAGGGAAAGTAATGTGAATACAGAAGTTAGGAATTACAGGTTATAAAGCTAGAAAATCTAATGACTTTCAAGAGCAGTTGAGTGTGTCACCCCAAAATATGCCTCTTGAGCATAAGACTTATTTTCAGCTGATTATTTTCAAGAAACAATAGATGTAGGAGATCTTTTGTCCCTTTTTTAAGGGACAGTTACATTTACAAAGAAAATCTCCATATGTACAGGTGTCTCCCTCTAATACCAGAAAAAGAATGACTCTGAATCACAAAATAATCTTATCAGTGGAGGAGGCACCAACTTAAATGTACACGACAACTACACCTATTACTGTACTTTTCCTGACAACTTCCTATAAATGGCTTCCCCCTCAAAACATCCTTCTTTTACCTGTAGCTGAAAATGATATTTAAGATGGTGGCTTGGGCCATTTGGAGGAGTTTTACTCAGTTTCCTGGGCACCTCCCAGGCATACAGGAGGTATACATGTTATTAAACTTCTATTTGTTTGGGGGTTTTTTTGGTTGTTGTTGTTGTTAATGTTTGTTATGGGAGGTGAAGGGTCTCAGCCGCAGAATCTAGAAAGGTATAGGGAAGGTTATTTTCCCTCCCCTACAATATCACAGGTGAAGAAAAATAGAAAGTAAAATTTAACGTGCTGTATGATTACATTTTAAAAAACACAATGCGAGGAAAAAAAACTTAGAAGAAAAAAACATCAAAATATTAATACTAGTTTTAGTGGGGCAGGTGATATCTTCGGTGGCTTGGTTTTCTTCTGCTTGTCTTAATTTTCCAAAAGTTCTTTAATGAGAAAGGATGTATTACATAATAGAGTGGAAGAAATTTTAAATAAATGTTCAGTGAGGGTAGAGGTGTGACCCACGGTGAGGAGTTGAAGGGAAATTCTGAGACCCCCATTCTGAGACCATCAGGGGTGGGTGGGGACGTGCAGTGGAGGAAGATGGAAAGTGCTTCCTCTGGTTGAGAATGAGGTGATAAGAACAGAGAAGCCCCTAAAATGCCATGATCAAAGGAAAAGATTATTCTGCGTCAGAGTGGGTGGTTTGAGGTTGGGGGAGCTTCAGAGTGAGCAAAGATTGGGAGGGGAGACTAATGACTAACAGGGTTTAGAATGCATCTGTGCCCCACACCTTCTCCTTTAAGCCAGTTCAAAGGGCGAAATAATTAGAGTCAGCTCTCTTCTCCCTCTTTTTATACTAGTGACAAAATCAAGCCCAGGAATATCAATCGATCTGGAGTCTGGACCCTCAGTAAGACCTTTCCCAAATCCAGGTGCAGAGAAAGCGCTCACTTCATGAGCTCAACAAGCAGTTAAAGGAAGGAAGGGCAGGAAGCCACCTCTTCGTCAAGATCTAACAAACGCAGCACCCAAAGCTGTGTGGTTTGGGGCTTATGAGCTTCCAATAAAGCTCATAAATACAGAAACCCTGGTAGGGGAGAAAGGAAGGTATCTGTACGATGAGAGGCAGGTATTCCCTCACCGATGCACGCATTCGTTACTCACTCATTCAGCAACACTTAATGAGAACCACTAAGTCCCAGACACGGTGCTGACCACAGAAAATAGAGCAGTGACCAAACAGAGGGGTCTGTCATTGAGGTGCTGGATTCTAATGAGAGAAGCTGTGCTAGTGAGAGATAATATATAGATAATAATCTATATTATTATCTTCCTGCCAGTTTCCTTCCACACAGTTCCTAAAATCCGAGGAACCTTCAAGGAGGCAAGTGTCTTCTTGCATGCTAATGAGGTGACTGGTGGCTGGAGGCTCCCGGATAACCTCAGGATACAGGCTGGTTGCCACAAGAACCAACAAAATGTTTAGAGGATTGGAATTTCCCCCAAGTTCCCTAGCTCCTAGCCCCAACATCCAGAGATGGAAGAGGGGCTGGAGATAAAGTTCTGTCACCAATGTCCAATGATTAATCAGTCGTGCCCACATAATGATGCCTCCAGGAAAAGACCCCAACCAGAGGAGTTCAGAAGCCTTCCAGGTTGGTGAACACATGGAAGTGCTGGGAGGGTGGTACACCTAGAGGCGGCATAGAAGCTCCAGATCCCTTCTTACAGACTTTGCCCTATCTCTTCCATTTGGCTATTCCTGAGATGTTTCCTTTTTTAATAAACCAGTAATATAGAAAGTAAACTGTTTTTCCTTAGTTCTGTGAGCCATCCCAGTAAATTATCAACCCCCAGGAGGGAGTCTTGGGAGGCCTTAGGCTATAGTGGGCTAAGAAATATGGCAGGCCCCAACTTATAATTGGCCTCTGAAGTAGGAGCAGCCTTTTGGGACTGAGCCCTTCACTTGCGGGATCTGACACTAACTCTAGTAAATAGTGTCAAAATTTCATTGAATTGTAGGACATCTAGCTGGTGTTGGAGAATTGGATGGTGTGGGAGAAAGCCACACATTTAGTGTCAAATGTGTTTGCTTTGAGAAGAAAAGAACACTTTCCTTTAGTTGGTGCAGTAGGGAAAGAAAAGAATTTCCTTTTTAGAGGCCAAGAATTAAATTATTCTCCAAATACCACTGTAGCAGTGATGACTTGTATTTAAAAAAAAAAAAGAAAAAAGATGCATGATGTGAGGGTAACCTGAAATGGAGGCTGTTGCCAGGATCAGGGAAGGCTTCTCCCACACAGTGATGATTGAGCTGAGACCCACAGGTGAGTAGGAGCTCCTTACAGGAAAGGAGAGCTTGGTCAGAGGGCAGAATCTGTGCA